CACACACACACACACACACACACACACACACAGCAAACCACAATCACACACTCACTGCCCGTCATGGCTATTCTTAGCTGTGTTCTGGGCTATTTTTAGACCACTACCGGTTTCCAGCCATTTAGCAGGGAGGGATCTCAGCCAACACAAAGGAACTGGACTCACTCCGCAAGCATATGTGAGTGTAGGTTTCATCTGTTTCTAATCAGAACACGGCACGGATCCACAGTTTAACACACACACGCACGCACAAACACACACAGCGGGCTAAAGCAAAAGAAGGTTAACAGAGTAAAAGTGAGGAATGCAGACTTATAAATAGCAGCAATGTTCCCAGTCTAAATGAACACAAAACAATAAGCTGATAGTTATCTGGCCAGTAGCCTGTACACACACAAACAAGCACATGAGAACAAAAAAAGATAACCAAAACAAAGGAGCCTCTCTTCTACTAAATTCCTGCCTGCCAGATATTTCATTGGCGGAGTCTTTTCACATCTCTGTGGACATACTATCATCTAGAACTCACACTTCATTCCCCATCCAACTCAGTTTTTCCAGTACATAAATAAGCGTTTCGCTCATAGGGAGTGATGTGATTGTTGGGTTTTTCTCTGTTTTCTTCGTATCGTTGTAGGGTCTTGACCTTACAATATAAAGAGCCTTGAGGTAACTGTTGTTGTCATTTGGTGCTATATAAATAAAATTGAACTAAAAAAAATCCTCTTGGTCTTTAAAGATACTCTGCACTTAATAACAGCTGTGGGTGAATGTTTTTTACATAACTGACACATTTGAATACTAGTCCTTTGTTTGTGCTGTTGGTCCCTTTTTGGGCATTTGTAAAGGGATTAGGACACAAAAGATATGGTTACTGTGTGGTATAGACTGACCAAGAAGTCTGGGTTAAGTTCATTTCTACACTTCCTGGCATGTTAGCTTATGAACCTGGCAAAAATGATCAGTCCTATGCTAAAAAAGGTAAATAAATAATAAAAATCAACCCTGAGACAGACCTAAACATACCAAGCCTTCATATTGAACAGTCAAAAATGCAATAGATGATGTTATGGTGGTGGTCAAATCTAGTCTTTAATATCTATAATTTATAGCATGACATGGAGTTACATGAAAAATAGTCTCCACAGGACATTCAACTGCTTCCTTACTCAATCTTACTGCTTCCACAGGAATTAAGAGAGAAGCTAGCAGCCAGGTGCTGCTAATCAAATTCACTTGATTAACTGATCATCAGTGAATGTGTGCACCTCCAGAAAAGCTGAACTTTTGCCAGTTTGCTGCACTGAAGCATTCAGATGTGTGCTAACACAATATGACGATCTTCACAGAAGTGAAGCACATTCACCCCAGGCTCATACAATACAATGATCAGAGAAAGCTTGCAGTCAGTGAGTGGAGCATGAACTCTTCGATAAACCAAATAATCAAATGTGAGGCTATTTGTATGACAGCTAAAGTGAGAGCTTTCTTCTCAGACTGCATGCCTGAGCATGCAGCCACAGCTCAGGGTGTATGGCAATTCACTATAGCACTGTATCATAATACATTTAAAAAAGTTTAAAAAAAAAGAAAAAAAAAAGGTCCGTCTTTCATAGATTATGGGGCACAAATTTACAGTTGTGCTCAAAGGTTTCCATCCACTCATCATGGGCTTTTTCAAGACTAGAATGAATTTGCAGCATCCATCGAAGTGTGTGTGCAGATAAGATGCTTAGGTATTGAGAAAAGCACTTGTGTCACTGGGCGAGGCTTCAAGTAAAAAGTGCTTGAGTGCTAAGTTAAAGTCTCAGTCCATTTCATTTGGCAAAACAAATTAACAATGGCACCCTTACATACAGAGCTGGAATTAAAATGAGTCCGGAGAAGAAAAACTCCACTGGCTTTATCAAAATGATCCACTCATTCATCACTCCTTTCCACTACAATTTTACGAAGGTTAGGAAACTAACAAAAACGCCATAGCTAGGCAAAAGAAAAAGTGTGCACACACAGGAAAAGAAAGCTGGACAGTAGCGAGGGAGGATAAGTTGTACAGAGGTTACAGTGGCAGCGACAGCAGTGAGCAGTAAATAATGCTGCTGTTCAAACTGTGTCTTTACAGCACAGAGATGAAGGGACTGCAGGTATAGATTATAGTAATGAGCTAAACAGGATTGTAGTAGATTACAGAGGATTACATAGTGCGTAAAGCTGGCTCTGATGGGGTTGCCCGAAAGGTCATGTGGTCGGCAATGTGGGGGAAAAGCTCAGGTGATGCACGCATACGGTGTGTCCACGTGCAGGCAGAGAGCAGAGAACGGCATCAACACAGTCCTCTGCCTTCTCGTCTCAACAGGATAGTCCTGCTTATGAGAACAAACCTTGGCTGTTTACATTTAATTGTCTGAGTCATCTTCCTCATCATTTCCTAAACATAATCTGCTGTTTAGCAATATGTCACATGTTTCATTCAGAACTGCCTGGATTCTGACATCTTACAGCTTAGATTTGACCTCGGTGTCATGGTGTTCTTAGCAAGTGTCCAAAACGTGGGCGCGTGTTTCCACAGAGTGTGTGTTTGCATGTGTCTGCAGAGGCAGTTGCTATTGTGCTCTTTTCCTAATACTGTGACTATTAAGATTAGGCAGAACAAGGTTCAGTCCAGCACAAACTTTAGTACTGTGTGTTACTGAAATGTTATACAGTAGGTCACACACACATTTGCACAGTGAGGTCAGATCCTCAAAGCATCATAGTTCCGATTAATAAACTATACAGAAAGAGTTTTAGCTACACAACACTGACTGTGAGGACATAAGCTCCACCCACCAGTTGTTCAAAACTGCTCTTTAACTTGCTGGGCCCACGTCCTCATTTTAGGTTTGACAGTGTTTTAGTAGATAAAGGCGAATGGCTTAAACATGAATTGAGCTGCGGTTTGGGGAAGGCCTCGAAGGGGACTGGCAGTGGCTCCTGGGCCTGGAAGATCCCCACGTACTAAATAAAAGTAAAGAAGTTAAAGAACTGAAAAGGGGAGGGACGTAAACAAGAATGAACAGCTTGTAGAACTGGGGGAACATAAATAGATGAGAGCCAGAGGGAGCATGTTTGGAGGCGTGGTCCCGCTCCTGAAATTCTGATATGAGGGGCAGCTAGTTGGGAGAAAGTAGTCTTGATGTGACAGGGTGTCCACATCAAATAGAATAAGTAAGAATAGTATAAAAAAGATTAATGGATGGTTTCTCAGAATTCTTTTTGCTCAATCAGAAAACTGAAAAGACCAAAGTCAACAGCTTATACATGTTGAACGTGTGTGTGTGTTTTACTTACATCCACAATGTCGGAGTTGGTCCTGCTCTCGTGTGGTTCATTGTATTCGGTGTATTTCAGCAGAACTTTGTCCATGTCTGTGCTGGCATACTGAAACAGCTTGTTGGTGCTGTTGAAGATGATCAGTGCAATCTCACAGTCGCACAACACACTGAGCTCATAAGCTTTCTTCATTAGGCCAAATTTACGCTTAGTGAAAGTCACCTGGAAGAAAGGAAGGAAAAAGGACAAACGTGAAATGTCTAGTTATTAATGAGTCCATCTACCATTTTGCAAATCGGCACCCTATGACATATTATATATAACTTACATGGTCATATATATGGATTTAGGTATGCAACAGAATCATCTTCATCAATTATGGAAAGCCATAAAGGTTGTGAACAGGTGTAAACTGCTGCTGAGATATTGCATGTGGCCCTGACAAAATAACAGAACATCTGAAGTACAGTGTGCCACCAGAAGAATCTCAGTATGAAAGCATAGGCTATAGAATAAAAGCATATAAGATAAAGGCATAATGTTTTTATCCTTCCTAACTCCATGCTAACTATTGGTGTCAGCAGTCAAAGACGAAACTGATAAAATGTCCAGCTTAAACAATTACAGGTTTCTGTGGGTAGGTTACTGTCAAAGGTATTACAACAAATTATTTTATATTGTCTTCAAAAACACATACCAACTACCAAGAATCTTGCTCGGTCAACGGGATAGGCAAGTGAAGGCCAAATGTTTATAATAAGTAACATTATTGCCTTTCACACTGTGCTGATAAATGTATGTTCCAATGATTTGATGCTGAAAATATGGTTAAAATCAGAGTCAGAGAGGGGCAGAGAAGACAGGAATAAAGCATAGAAAAGTAAAAAATAAATAAATAAATATCAGGATAACAAGATTATCTCAACAACTTGGTAGCTTGGGTGGAGGTGGGTTGCAAATCAGCTTGCATTTGCACTACAAAGAGTACAAGTGTGTCAGGTCAGCAATCGCTGGTGCTTGCTGCTATTTTCCACACATGTTAGCCATCATAAACTGAGCCACTGACATAAAAAAGGAAATGTTATTTTTTTTCAGTATGAATAATTGTCATCAATATGACCAAGTACACATACTTTTACTGTGTTCACACCACAAGCCTGCACACAAAGAGGCACTGGTATACCTTGGTACAGACCAGGGAAGGACTAGGAGGTCAGTTCTGCCCTGTCAGGGGGGTCAGGAAGCACATGTGCCTGCATTTCCTGTCATAACAGGAAGAAAGGAACCACTCCCCCAGAAAAGATATGTGTGTGTGTTTGCGCCCGTGTGTGTCAGTGCACCTATTTACAATCAGTAGTTATAACACAGTTGTTATTTTGCCATGAGCTAGATGGTGCTGGCACATTTTGAAATGATTCTCACACACAATCACACAGTCGTGTTTGTGGGCGTCACATGACATGGTTTTGCTAGCTTGTCTGTTTTAAGTGTTCTTGGTTTGTGTTGTACTTGAGTGAAAGCAGGCGAAAGAAAGAGCGTGAACATGTATATACAGCAGCGTTTCATGTGTTCACCTAAACACAGACATCCCTCTGCACAGGGTTCTTGCTCAGAGTAATCATGAATAAATGTTTCATTGCATGTCACAGAAGCTCCTTTCTTAATGAGCTCATCAATTTGTATAATTCCTCTTTCTGCTGTATGATCTTTTTGTTTGATTTGATCCTATCCTTTAATTTTTACTTAAGTGCAGCAGCTTTTCCTTCGTGAATTACTAAGGTTATTTTTTATTTTAAACAATGCGCACTTTGGAAACTGACATGAAAACACTTCAGTTCGAGCTGTGAAGTTTTCAAGTGGAGCTAAAAATGTACCCTTAATGAACTTGTTCTATAAATACACTGTGGTGAGAATAAACAGGGGAAAGACTGAGGGGGAATCACATCCTAAGTTCAGAGGCTGAGCCAGAAAAACTGTTTGGTAAATATAAAAAAAACTCTTTAAGTACTTTAAAGGAGATGTTTTATACTCATTTCCAGCTCAATTCAATTCAAATAATCCTTCTTCAGCTTATACTTGGCCCGGTGCAGCTCCTTACTTTATCCTTTACCTGCAACAAGGCAGCATGGAGGCTGAGTGGTTAATTGAATTGAATTTAAACTTGCGAAAGTGTACCTCATAAGATTCTGTTCTTTCATATCTCAGTGATTAAAATAATAAACTGGAAGCACACTGTGAAATAAGTGCTAGTCAGAGTCTTACATCACTTACATGTCTGTTCCGTTCATCCATAATCCGTGCTATCTGGATCTTCTTTCGCCCCATCGTTTTATCGTTGACTGTTTTTCTTTTTCAGAACTGTCGTATTTTCAGGTTCCTTCGATTTACTTCCAAGTCCTCACGCTTTTTCACTTCTCACTTTCGAACTGTTGTGTGGTTCCTGCAGAAAAACAGCAATAAACAAATCGAGATTAACAAAACTTATGTATACTACAAAATTCACTGTCTGTAAGTCGTGTTGATGATCAAAACTCAGAACGTTTTTTGTTTTACAAATGGGATTTTACACACACACACACACACACACACACACACACACACACACACACACACACACACACACACACACACACAC